AGGATACATGCCTCTCCATGGGGATGTAATTAGCTCTTACCAACCCATCAATTTTCAAAGCTTTGGTCCCATGGTGAAATGATACTTGTGGTTCAGCAGTCTCACGCTCAACACTATATTTCTTTTCAACAATGGAGTTCTAACATGGGGTGACTTTCTGATCCAATTCCTTTTGTTAAAAAAGAAGTAAATTCGCAAGAACTCTGATGTGATCTGACTTGATCTACTTTTGGGCCCAGAGGTTTTGGCAGGCCGGCCAGATGTGTGTGAGAACCGGAATCCAACCCAGCAGGGTTTCCTGAATCTCAGTAGAAATTGTCACACGACAAGAGCTCTCCTCCCTATTGTTCCTACCGCTTTCTTGGTGTGTTTCCAGTCCTGTGCGCGATGGGACAGGAAAGGACAGGAAAACCAGCTGGGAATCGAAAGAACCAAATATCTGACCTTTGGGCGGGAAAAAAAAAAAAAACCACTCGCTGATTTATTTTTCGATTTCCAAATCCAAGATGATTCGAAATCTAAAAAGAAAATGCAATTCAGTGATGGACAGATTATTTTGGTAAACTGGTATTACGCTCTAATTCCAGGTGAGGGGATTCCTTGCTCCCAAATGCCTGAGTGAGATGGGCTCAAATCTTATTTTAGAAGCCAAATCGATGGCAGGTTAAGGTGTCAACAGTTGGTGATGGGAGTGACTCTCCATCCTTTTCCAAGCAAACCCAAACCCCAAGAGCAGACTCTCCTCCCGAGTTCTCCTTTCCCAGAGAGTGTGGGAAAGTGACTATTTTTTTGCCGACTGAACAGCAGAGAGAGGGGGAAAAAAAAGGGGGGGGGAGAAATAAAACCCAGATACTTCTGGAAGGTGACTTTTTTTTTGGGGGGGGGGGGGGGGGGGGAAGCTGATGCATCTCTGCCCGACCTGTGCCTTCGTTGTGTGCAAGAGTTTGGCCACAAGACCCAATTGCACTCTCCAGTCAGATACCCTCTCCCCCACCTCTCTCTCCCCCCCCCCCTCTCTCTCTCTCTCCCCCCCTCCTCTCTCTCTCCTTCCCCCCTCCTCTCTCTCTCCTTCCCCCCTCTCTCTCTCTCCCCCCCCTCTCTCTCTCTCTCTCCCCCCCCCCCTCTCTCTCTCTCTCCCCCCCCCTCTCTCTCTCTCCCCCCCTCTCTCTCTCTCTCCCCCCCCCCTCTCTCTCTCCCCCCCTCTCTCTCTCTCCCCCCCCTCTCTCTCTCTCCCCCCCCTCTCTCTCTCCCCCCCCCCCTCTCTCTCTCCCCCACCTCTCTCTCTCTCTCCCCCCCTCTCTCTCTCTCCCCCACCTCTCTCTCTCTCTCCCCCCCCCTCTCTCTCTCCCCCCCCCCCTCTCTCCCCCCCTCTCTCCCCCCCCCCCCCTCTCTCCCCCCTCCTCCTCTCTCTCCTCACGCTCCGGCGCTGTGGTTCGTGTTCGGGCGTTCTTGAACCGCACTTATTTAATTCCTTCCCCCGAAACCGCGGCGGCCAATCGTCAGACGGTGCGCTGTCCTGATTTCGTCTCTCTGCAGTAAAATGGAGTCGAAGAAAGAGGGCAGGAGCGTCCAGGGAGAGCACCTGAGCGCTCCACATCCATCCTGAGCCGAATGGGAGCAGAGGGACCAGAGCCGCCGCCTGTCTGCCTGGTCCACAAGCCGCCACCACCGCCTCCACTGCAGGTACCAGGTAGGGCTGTCTGTCTGTCTGTGTCTGTCTGTCTGTCTGTCTGTGTCTGTCTGTCTGTCTGTCTGTCTGTCTGCGTCTTGACGCTCTCACTTTGCTTTGACAGATGGAGTGTGGCGTTTAAGAGAGAGAGAGAGAGAGAGAGAGTTGAGCTCTCTATCTATTATATACATTATATGTATGTGTGTGTGTATATATATATATATACACACAGGTATATAATAGGTGTGTTTTTTCCCGGTGGTTGTCCACTGAAGTGACCAGGTTCGCCTTCCTTGCTGTGCTGTGCTGTGCTGTGCTGTGGGTGACCTCTCGGTGCTGTGGCTGTGACCCGGTGTGGGGGTCTGTGTGTGTCTGGTTTGGACGCGAGAGGGGTTCGTGAAACACATCCGCGCTTACAATTCACTGATCACATCATATATATATATGTATATATGTATCATATCACCAATATAAACCGACCCCTAGTTATTGTATGAACCAGACCCCCCCACACACACACCCCACCCCCCCCCCCCACACACACCCCACACACACACCCCACACCCCCCAGTCCTGGTCTGGGGCAGTTTGGATGGAGAGGAGGGACGGGATGAGCTTTCGGTACAGATCGCAGCGCCTTCTCTGAAGCGCCGACGATGAACTTTACAACAGTAATATCAGTAGTAGTAGTAGTAGTAGTGATAAATCATAATAATCCCTACGTTCGGACGCAGCGCCGTATCGCGTCTTGTAGGCGCCTCGAAGCGCTTCGCCGAATTAGACTGCAAGGTGAAGTGACTGTATATTTTGCGGGGGGTGGTGGGGTGGGGGGGGGGGAACTTTCTTGCGGTGAAGAGTTAGTTACCTTGGGTTTGCAGAGCATTTTGCGCTGACCTTCGTGCTGAATACTTCCCTTTTTTTCCCCCCGGCGACAAAAAAGATACACATATATAGAGAGAGAGAGAGAGAGAGAGAAGGTTTTATTGCAGTGAAGGGATCATCTGTCCTCTCATCCGCACATGTCACTGTGCGGCGAGAAGGTGAGCGCGTCGGACCACAGTAAAAGAAATAATCACCAGGAAAACGCAGGCAATAAATTCAAATGCGTTTGGAAATCCCGGGATCTTCGTGAAACAGAGTTGCAAGAAACGCAGGTCCACCCCCCCCCAACTCCCCCAAACCCCAACCTCCCCCCCCCCCACACACACACACACACACACCAGAGGGACATCCAACAGCGCCCGCAAACAAAACAGAGACCAGAGACACACAGATATTTAACCTTTCGGACTCGGTCCAGAGTTCCCCTCCCGCTGTGATTCAAAAACCACACGCGGGGAATTCTGTCACGGTTTTGCACCCTATCCCTATCCCTAACCCTAACCCTAACCCCCCAATAAAGTCCAAGTGTAGTTGGATCGGGATTTTTTGGAGCATTGAGTGAGGAGCGAAGAGGAATCCCGACTCAGTCAATGAGAGGCAGACAGAAGCCAGGCATTGCTGGGGGGGTGGGGGGTAGGGGGTTGGGGTGGCGGGGGGGTGATGGTTGGGGTGGTGGGGGTGATAGTTGGGGGGGGGGGTGATGGTTGGGTGGTGGGGGTTGAGGTTTGGGGTGGTGGGGGGTGATGGTTGGGGTGGCGGGGGGGGGTGATGGTTGGGGTGGTGGGGGTGATGGTTGGGGTGGCGGGGGTTGATGGTTGGGGTGCGGGGGGTTGATGGTTGGGGTGGTGGGGGGGTGATGGTTGGGGTGGCGGGGGGTGATGTTTGGGGTGGTGGGGGGTGATGGTTGGGGTGGTGGGGGGTGATGGTTGGAGTGGTGGTGGGGGGTGATGGTTGGGTGGCGGGGGGGGGGTGATGGTTGGGGTGGTGGGGGTGATGGTTGGGGTGGTGGGGGGGTGATGGTTGGGGTGGTGATGGTTGGGGTGGCGGGGGGTGATGGTTGGGGTGGTGGGGGGTGATGGTTGGGTGGTGATGGTTGGGGTGGCGGGGGTGATGGTTGGTGGTGGGGGGTGATGGTTGGGGTGGTGATGGTTGGGGTGGCGGGGGGTGATGGTTGGGTGGCGGGGGGGGTGATGGTTGGGGTGGTGGGGGGGGTGATGGTTGGGGTGGTGGGGGGTGATGGTTGGAGTGGAGGTGGGGGGTGATGGTTGGGGCGGGGTGGGGGGGGGGGGGGGGTTGCAAAGCGTCACAGCGATTAACGGAGGCAATCTTAACAAGTTCACCCCTTGTCCCGGCGCCCTGGTGTTTTGCGCGTTGTGTTGGCAATGGGTTTGGGAACCCAGGATGCGCCATCGCTCCTCTCAGGTACCTGTAAATCTCCGGATGAAGCTGCAGCGCTGCTCTTTTCGGCAGCCGTTCCCTTGTCTCGCAATCTGCCGGGCGGTCGGGAGCATTTTCATTGCTGTGCACTACAGCAGTAACAAGTTGCTTGAGCTTTCCCAGCGATGTTTTTTTTTTTGGGGTGGGGGGGGGTGGGGGGGTGGGGGGGGGAACTGCTGGATATAATCTGCAGGAGGGTTAGAGAGGGGCTGTCGTTCACATTTGCTGTTTGTGTTCTTATCAGCGAGCGGACAGGTACAGAGATGTCATTCGGATTGCGAATGAAAGGACTTCTAAGAACTTGCTTTGACTTTGTGTAACTATGATAACAGTAGTAATAATCCTCGCATTCATATTAACAAAATATACCGTCAATTCACTTTGCAGTTTATTCTGTGAAGCGCTTTGAGATGTCTAGAAGACGTGATGAGGCGCTACATCAAATGCAAGGATTATTATGATTATTATTATTTGATATAACCCGTTTCATGTCAGGTGGAAGTCTCAAAGTGCTTCACAGAATGTACTGTAAAGTGTAAAGACTGTGGTTTTGTGTATGCATATGTATATACACACAAATATATACTGTGTATGTGTATATATATATCAAGGTCATCTTGATACAAAAATTCTAATTCTAGGTAAATGAACCAATCTACTTGTTTGTCTTCATTACTGAGATCTATATATAGTAATGTTATCTATATATAGTAATAATATCTATATATAGTAAATGAAGGCGAGTTTTAAGTGCCTGACGAGTTTCTGACGAGTTGTGTTATTCCAGCAGGTATAAAGACATGTTGCCCCAATTGGCTGACACTGCAGAAGGCTCTACCTTCCCTGGTTCATCTTGATTGTTAAAATGTCCATAACTAAGAGCACCATGAAAAACATCATCTGGAACTATTTGTGCATTACAATTGCTCCGATTTGGCTGCTATTCTTCCCGGTAATTCTGGCCCAGAGAAGTGCCCAAGACAGAGAGATAGCAAGGAGGGTGTTGGTGTCAATGGGCTCAGTTCAGCGATCTGTGGCTCGGATGGATGGAGATGTGATCATCGGGGCTCTCTTCTCAGTCCATCACCAGCCTCCTGCAGCGAAAGTCCCCGAAAGGAAATGTGGAGAAATCCGAGAGCAATACGGTATCCAAAGGGTGGAAGCCATGTTCCATACTCTGGACAAGATTAATGCCAACCCCAACATCTTGCCCAACATCACTCTAGGCTGTGAGATCAGAGACTCGTGTTGGCACTCTTCAGTTGCTCTGGAGCAAAGTATCGAATTTATCCGAGATTCTCTCATCTCAATGAGGAATGAGCGGGACGGACTCACTCAGTGCCTCGAAGGACCCACTGATGGTACGTCCACCAAGGCCAAAATACCCATAGCGGGAGTTATTGGACCAGGCTCCAGTTCTGTGGCTATTCAGGTACAGAATCTTCTGCAGCTCTTCAACATCCCTCAGATTGCCTACTCGGCCACCAGCATTGATCTAAGTGACAAGACTTTGTTTCAATACTTTCTAAGGGTCGTTCCTTCTGATAGCCTTCAGGCCAGGGCCATGCTGGATATCGTACTGAGATACAACTGGACGTATGTGTCTGCTGTCCACACTGAAGGTAAATCAAATCCACATTGCTGTCAAAATCTGTTCGTTTCAGCTGTGAGCTGAAATTGCAGGGCTTTGCTGATGAATCATAAAATAAGCGTAATTCAGCAATGACCAGGGGGAAATTCCATCTAATTTATTTGATGTAGAATTTCAGAATGTCCAGAAATTGGCATGTCTTTAAATACAGTCTATAACTTTGAAATCTGTTTCCTGCAAGATTTTTAAGAACTACTCAAAAAATAGCTTTGAGGTTAAGACTAACAACTCAACAATTTGCCAAATTCTGGAATGCCACATTAATAAAGTAAATCTAGACCTAAGTGGAATTTCTCCCCAGTTACATGAGTGGTGAATGGAGGGAGAAATGTTTGCCATAAAAAGTAATTTCCATTATAATCCAGTTATCCCATGTTAAAAGATCAATCACCAACCGATTCGGGACAATTTCCAAATGAAGGCCACACCCTGATGATGATCTGACCTACGAATGCAAGCCATAGGGAGGTATCGGAGGCTTGGATTTCCCATGGGGTTAGGTCTAAAACAAAACAATATTCCTTGCATTTTATATATTTGCAAGATCATTGTCTTCAATTTGAAGATTCTGTAGAATTTTGAAAAAAAATCTTAATTTGAATCTTAATTTGGAAGCTAGTTTTCTGTAGTTTTTAAAAGGCATTGCAGAAAACTGTTTTCGGATTTAGGAATTAGCAATTTTTCCCAAATCTTGCACAATAATAAATTTTAAAACAATGGTAAAGACTAAGAGTCGAAGACTAATGGTAAAGACTAAGACTATTTAGTCAGCACCAGGATAGACGATATTTGTGTAACTGATTTTGTGGCACATTTTAGATGAAATAATGTTATTAAACTCCATTGTGATTACAGAGAATTACATAGAATATACAGCACAGAAACGGGCCATTCGGCCCAACTGGTCTATGTCTGCATTTATGCTCCACATAAGTTTCCTTCGGCTCTTCCTCAACTAAGCCTATCAGCATAACCTGCTATTCCTTTCTCCCTCATATACTTATTTAGCTTCCCCTTAAATACATCGATGCTATTCAACTCAACTACTCCTTGTGTAGCAAGTTCCAGATTCCCACCACTCTCTGGGTAAAGACGTTTCTTCTGACTTCACTATTTGAGTTATTGGTGACTATTTTATATTTATGGTCCTGGTTTTGGTCTGCCCCACAAGTGGAAACATCTTCTCTATGTCTACCCTATCAAAACCTTTCATAATTTTAAAGACCTCTATTAGGTCATATGATACAAAGCAATGTTCTCGTGAATAGTATAGTATTAAAGTACATTTGATGGCTTGATAGCAGCATTGCCAACTACTTCCTCTGTCTTTACAGCGAACATCAGAAAAAGAGGGTCTCTTACCAACTAAAATTACACATAAATAATAAGAAATATTACACACATAGTCAGCCATATGAAGAGCTTTCAGACAGCCTCCCAACATGAAAAATGATAGATATATATGTAATCTGGTGTTCTTTTTAAATACATTTAATTATATATGTTTTACTGAAATTACAAAATAAACACTCCACTTTACAATAAATTCTGCGAAATGGTTTGAGATGACCTCCTGATGTGAAAGGCACTATATCAAATGCAAGGATTATTATTGTTATATATTGAAGCATTCATTAATATTAAAGTGCGTTCCAATATCTCAATAGTCTGAGTTTACTTATTTCTGAGCAGTCTCGTGTCTTTACTCGTTTGTACATCAGCCACATTGCTGAATGTGTGACTTGCGTAGGGTAGGGATAATCCACAATTATGTCCCTGTACTGTTCTGCATAAAAATACCAATTAAACAGAATTTGCTTAACAAATATAAATCTCGTAAAATATTGCTTCTATAACTAGCAAATGTGATGCGAATGAAAATAAAGTGCTGCATATCACAATATGACAGAGACCGTTGTACTGTGACAGAGACCCATATATTAGTGTGAAAGAGGCCCACTTTATACCTGCGCTTCCCATGACATGAAATAATTTTAATCTCATTTACATTGAATACATTTTATGTACCACTGTTCCTAATATTATGTTGTATTTGCAACGAGTTAATATCCAAATTTAAATTTTAATCCTTAGATTGCTGACAGATCTTTATACACTTGTGTGTCTGTGCAACTCGCTGGAACTGTACATTTTCACTGAGCTACTGAAAAAGCATTAATTTTGCAATAACAAAGATATTCAAATATCAGTAAAACATTATTTGTGTGATCCTTATTCTTCTGCATTAAATGTTTTCCCAATAAATCAAAAGTAATAATAATTATAATTATTGCATTTCAAGCAATTACAACGCAGTACAATGTATATTTTTATAGCACTTATCATGTTGCGAGGACTTCTCAAAACGCTTGACAATGCTGAATGGGAAACTGAGTTGGGGGTAGGAAGGGGAAAGATGAATGAAAGCGCAGTCAAAGAATTATGCTTTGAGATAATGTGTTTTGAATGAAGTGAGGGAGGGAACGAGTTGGATGGATTCTGGAATTGTCTTCCAGAGAGCCAAGGCAGAATGGCTGAAAGTCTGACATCCATTGGTGGAGCAGGTAGGGCAGAGGACATGAAGCAGGCTTGATATCTATTTGATAAGTCGAAGTATAACTAAAAATAAAACAATTTAAAAAAACCTTACACAGATATACCCTTTGGTTTCTTTTTCCTCCTATTCACATATTTTCTCTATTCCTTTATCTTTTTCCTCTTTATATTCAACATTTCTATCTACTCTTTTTATCAAATCTAACCTTTTCCCCAATCTATTTCTGCCATTTAAAATTTTATATAGCTTGTTTTCTTCCATCCAACCATCCATTTTGCAATATGGGAACAACTCTTTAAAGGTTAATTTGCAGCCAACAAGAAGGTAAAAGACTGGCAATTATCAGGTCATATCATAGGTACAAGGTTGTGAAGCTCTGGGATGATTTTCAATTGCAATGTCCTGTTTAGGTGTGACAATCTATACAGAGTTATTGTTGTGATGTGTAAATGTGTCGTAAGTGCTTAAGGGATTTTAGTTATTTTTAAGTGCATTCAACCAAGTGAATGCTATAAGCTGACTTAAAATGTCACAAGAAAGTTTCTGTGAAACCAGAGGTATTTTTGTAGTACTTACAAGAATCCTTGTTATTTTTCAGCTATTTGTGGAGGGTTTTGAATCCAGTGTAAAGCACCATGCTGTTTGTGTTTCAACGTGTCATATTTGAGAATCAAGTGCAATGGTCAGGACATTAGGAACTCTAGCTCAGTTGTTAGAGCACTCGCCTCACAAACAAGAGACCTGGGTTTGATCCCCAGCAAGCTGATACGATGGGCAAGTTTCCTTACACCACACACCTCTGTTACCTAGCAGTAAGTAGGAACCCGGTTATTAGTCGATTGGCAGATCGCTTTTCCGGGGCTTTTCCTGAAAAAAAATTGGTTACTCAATCCACGACTGTTTGTCGGACACTGCTGTATGCAATTAGCTGCTGTGTTTCGCCCACAAAATATAGACAATTCACTTTACAGAATATTCTGTGAAGCGTTTTGACACGTCTCGAAGACGTGATAAGGCGCTAAATCAAATGCAAGGATTATGATACTGTTATAGGTTCAAAGGGTTTGAAACAGGAATGTTGAGCAGGATGTGAAAAATGTATATGTTGAGTAGCTAGCCAAGACATCCATTTGAAAGAGGGATGTTATAGATCAAAGTTGTATGTAGACTGCTGCAATGTCCGAGTGGTCGATATTGAATATCTTAGAATTAAACTTCTATCAATCTCCGAGTGTTTGATGCTTGAAACTCCGCTTTGCCAAAGACAAATTGTAGTTACAAATCCATTAATTCAATTTTAGCATGAAATACCATTCATATTTAATTTAGTTGGTGAAGAAGAATTTACATCTGTTTTATTATTATTGCTGTGATAAATTAAAACATTTAACATGTTGTAGTCTTTTGACAATAGTAAATGGTTTAACTCACGTTTCATCCACAAAATACTTAATATTTGTATTTCGCCCATAAAATACATAGTCAATCCACTTCACAGTATATCCTGTGAAGTGTTTTGTATATCATCCTCGTCCTCACTTTCAAGGCCATCCATGGCCTTGCCCCCTCCTACTTCTCTGACCTGCTGACTCCCTACCAACCTGCCCGCTCCCTCCATTCAGCGGGCTCTGGCCTGCTCCATGTCTCCCGTCTGACCCACCCTACCATCAGTGGCGAGCTTTCAGCTTCTCTGCCCCCACACACTGGAACTCCATCCCACAGTCCCTTCACCTTGCTTCCTGCCTTGCCTCCTTCAATGCCCGTCTCAAGAGCCTCCTCTTCGATCATGCCTTCAGTCGCCCTCCCACCTCTCTGTCTTCCCCTCACCCCTACTCCACCCCTCCCCCATGCTCGGGTCCTGACCCCTGACTGTCCAGCGCTTTGGGACGTCCTCCCGACGTGAAAGGCGCTCTGTAAATGTAATTTTATTTTGAGACGTCTCGACGACATGATGAGGTGCTCTATTAAATTCAAGGATTATTATTATTCATCCAAATTTATCTTGTGATTTAGTACAGGTGTCCACATGTGCACAACACAGAAGCACTCTCATATGTTGGCTGATTTTGAAGCAGTTTTAAATTTAAATAGACAATTAAAAATGGGGAAAACAACCCAAAAATTGTAAAGAAAACATCTTTCTTTCAGTTATGATTTTACCATTAATTCTTGCTAAGATATTGAAGTAATATTACAAAAGTCCACTTTTTAATAATAAGTTAGGCTCACTATTTAATTGTCAACCTGGTGTCTGACAGAAAACCCATCACCATGCTTTAAGAGTATTGAAACTAAACTACTGAGAGCTAACTATAACCTTGGAAATTTCTATTCATCTACAATGGAGTATGCACCTTCTCTTTGGAGAGACACACCCTCATGCTCACCATATATTACTGGGATAAATATTTGTG